AAGGTAAAGATGCTGTAAACAAAAGCTACATTTCTAATCATAAAAATTTTCTGTCCTGTATTCCACTATATTTTAAGATGAAGTCCACACCTTTCATTTCCTTCAGATATTTCCCAACTATTGCATTCAAATTTGTATTATAAACAAACTTTACAGTGGTTAAATTAACCATCCAAAATTAAATCCTTTTTAAATGTACTTGTTCTCTCTCCTCTTTCAGCTGCAGTCCAGCTGGACACATCATAAATGGTGATGTAAGTAGAGGTCAAAACGAAGACCTAAAATCAATCATTTTAAAAAATCCTACATTCAGGGAGCCCAGATCTTTTAAATTGTGACAGAACTTCTTTCTATAATGCATTTTGTCGAGGACTATGCTAGACAATGGGTCAGTTATGATTCTGTCAGAATGAATAAAGAATTTTATAAAAGTTAAAGAATAGCACGAGAAAATTAAAGGGCAAGATACCAACTTTTTATCTTTTAATGGGGAGGAAGTGAAAAAAGGAATTAGAAAGACTACATGAAAAATATGTTTTGGAACCAGTTGATCAAACTTGTAACAATATAGTTTTTGTAAGGCTCATTATTGACTTCATGAAAATACTTACAAAGATACATATTGCAGGCTTTAGTTAATGTTCAAAGAAGCTCCTATCTTTAATTTTCATTAGTCAAACACATTAACTGTTGTAAAAGAGAAACTACTTCAGATGTACTGTGTTACAACATATTCGAAAAGTGGTGCAAATGAAATATGGATTGCAGAAAAAAATTTAAAGATTTTTTTTTTTTAATCTAAACTAAAAAAAAAATTTCTGAAATCAACAGCATCAAAACATGCACTTTTCTAAGCTTTATAAATCGATTCCTTGCGATAAATTAAAGAGCAGCTTTGACATCATAGACAAGTGCTTCTTAATAAAAATGGGTCAGGAGGAAATTTATATATCTTGTGATTGATCATCTATAATCTTTGTTTAAAAATCGTTCTGATTGCACACACAAGCATTCTGTAGTTTATGTTTAAAAAGATATCTGGGATTTTCATTGACAATTTCCAGATGTTTGAGTTTTTCATTTACAATATCCATGTAGTCTTTGAGGACCAGGTCTTCCAACAACCTGTTGGAATGTCCATAGGTACTTTTTCCCATACAAAAAATTTTTTTCAACTCATACAGGGTGTTTAAAAAAACATGCAACCATTTTGATTGCTTATAACTTACTGGCTTTTCATCCAATACCATCCATCAACATGTCAAATTAAAATGCACAATTCCAAGTTTTATTGTTATCAAAATAAAATTAATCCGGCAAATAGATTATGAGTTACAAAAGAATAAAGAAAACTTGTGAAATTTCACCTATTAACAACATTTTCTAAATGGCATAATTTTTTCCGGAATCAGTAAATCTAGGCGATGCAGGAAATTTCTCATTACTAGTGAACAGAGTTTTTGTGTAATGAACCTGGTCTCACTCTGACCATTTTGAGTTCATGTGTTGTTTTGGGGCGTGTTTTATAAACTGTGACCTTTAAATGTCCGCAGAGATAAAAGTCAAGGGGATTTAAGTCATTTGAGTGTACGGGCAAAAAGTTCTTGGATTTGAAAAAGACGAATCGTCCCCCCAATTTTTTTTTCTTTCAACCAGTCCAAGGTGTAAGATTCAAATCATATTTCAGCATCCCATGTACACTTGGCTTGCTCATTTTTGAGTCGCATTCGTTTAAAAGCTCGGTTATTTTACTTAAGGGTTTCATGTTTTCATGTGTTCTAATCGTCTTTCCATAAACGTCAGGTTTCTTCCACATTATATTAAGTTTTCATGTGTTCTAATTGTCTTTCCATAAACTTCAGATTTGTTCCACATTATATTAAGTCCTTTGCATTCTGGATACCTATCTGCATTGTCCAAATCCCAATAACTGGGGACATGCTTTGTTAAAACAGTTTAAAACTTCTGATGACTACTCCTTACTGAATTCCATGAAAAGAATGAAATCATATATTTTTCAGTGATGTCAAATATGACGCCATAATTAATGAAAATGATAATTATTTCCCCAATTTTTGTTATAAATAAAGTTTTAAGTCTTTTTAGCATAATTTTATATGACTTTTATATGTTTCTGTTTGCTTATCAAAAAAGTGAGGAAAGTAAATGCTTGCATGTTTTTTGAAACTCCCTGTATGAAGCAAAATTTATTTAAAGAATTTCTGCATGAAAAAAGGAAATCCCTTGCTAAGGCCTTCAATTTGACATATAGATATATCGACGACGTTTTATCAATTAACATTTTTCTTTTCTACGTTGTTTCAATATTTACCATAGAACTGTAATTAAAAGATACAAAGAATCTGACAGATCTCTTTGACAGATCTCTTTTATATTTGAATGCTTCAATAAAGAAAGATAATCAAGGCAAATTATCAACTACTATTCATGACTTCCCTTATCTGTTTAGCAATATGCACTTATCACCCGCATATGAAGTATATGTCTCCAAGTTGATTTGATACGCAAGATTACGTTCTAGCAACAATCAATTTCAAAAACGAGGCCGGCTACTGAGATATAAGTTAATACTACAAGGAAATCAACAATCTTGTTTAATATCAACATTTCGCAAATTTTATGGTGAAATATATGGAGATAACGAACAGTATTCAAGCTCAAAAGTCCATTAAACATTACAAAATAGGTGCAGAGCAAACACGGACCTCCAAAACATCAGAGGTGGGATCAGGTGCCATGGAGGAGTTAGCATCCCCTGCCGACCGGTCACACCCGCCGTGTGCTCCTCTTCTTGATCGGGAAATAACGGGAAAAGTCGTCGACAATTCAGTATGTAAATAATGGCCTAACAAGTAGTAAGAAAAACGTCAGTCAGCATTCGACTCAATGATAAATTGTATTTGCTGACAAGGTCATTGTGTCGACCATAAAACTTACGAAATGATGACTTTAAACGAGACTGCTGATATTCTTGTTTCATTAACTTGTTTGTCAATAATTTAATTGTCGAGCAAATTATTACCATTCTCTTCTACGATCATAGTTTATCTTTATTCCCTTTTATCTCTTTTAAAAACGTCCAATCTCTGCTCGCCGACGGGAACATTTGCTTTACACTACGTGATATGTATGTCTCTGGCAGAAGATACAGTTGGATTTTGATTGCCTAAAAACTTTTACTGAAATTAAAACAGAAAAATGTCATGATACATTTAGGGAAAATTAAAAGTAGCAACAAAAATTAATTTATTATATGTAATGTTTAAACACTGCAATTGAGTTTTTAGACCAACTTAAAATTAGCCTTCCTTGCGAGAGTGATAAAAAGCACTCGAGTTTCAAGTCGGCCAGCAGAATTTTGACGCTGTTTACGGAAAAAAGAAAATAAAGACAAGCAGGTCATATATCTTTTATGGTCTGACGATACGATCCTCGAATATCTGAATTCGTATCTCTTTGTTAACATACCAAAAATATCTATAATTATTCTATCTTGTGATTTCTAAACTGTTTTCAAAATGCTTTGAAAGGTATAAACACTAAATATTCTGATATCATCAATTTAGGTGATATCCAATATGATTATAAAGGAAAGACCATCCTCAGGTATCTTGCACAAATGTCTGGTAATACTTCATTTTTTGTGAGGAAACCTGTGAATGTAGCTATACTTCAATCCAAAGTTCTTGAGAAAATTTATAATATATCATGAGAAATATATCGTCTGACCTAACATAAAGAACTACCTCCTCATAACTATAGAGGTATAACCTATAGGGCCAGGATTGGCTTTAGTCTTTGCTTATCGATTTCTGTTCCGGTCGGTGAGTTTAGGCTACAAGCAAATACCATTACTAGTAGTAATTTGTTTCTCTATATCATTTTAGTTGTAATTAATGCACGTAGTATCTGGAAATGGGAGGAACCTTTTCATAGACATCAATATGTACATGTAGTAAAACCTACAGTGGCAAACCTAAACTTATTTTTTCTTTCATCTAAACGTAAAAGTTTAATGTAAGTAACATAAGCTTCTTCGAAACACCAAAAGTTAACAAACAGTACTAATAATCATGCTCAAAGTCCAATGAAACAATTTAAATTGTGAGCAGAGCAAACACGGATCATTGAAAAGATTATAAGTAGAATCAGATGCCATGGAGAGTAAGCATCTACTGTCGATTGGTCAAATCCGCCGTGTGGCCCTTGTCATGATCGGGTAAATTGGGAAATCCGTAGACAAATCAGTATGAAAATAATGGTCTGACAATAAAATAAAACATTCAACCTTATAATAGATTGTATGTGCAAACAAGGTCATTGTATCGATTATGAAATTCCGAAATGTTGACTTCAGATGAGATTGTTGATATCCTTGTATATCAACTTATTTGTCAAATAACTACAGTGTGTACCACATTTTTTATCTTGTAAGATATACAATATATTAAAAAATATTTTGTGTAAAAAAGGACTTTTTTGCTAAGTAGTACAGGTATAAGTTTTCAATCTGATATTCACTGGTACTTTAATTTTCTTTATGCTTGCTGTTGCCTTCCTGTATTCAAAAAGCTTTTAACAATTGATATTTCGTAGTAGAATTCTGGTATATATTTTGCTTTTTTGCCACCGGTATATATGTAACTTTGGAGACTATACATAATTTTATTTTTAATTTATTTGTTCGTTTCATGTATTACATTAGTAAGAAGAGTCACATTTGATGAAAATGTTCTTGTTATTAAATATACATCGGTAATTGAACTATTAATTGAAATAAAATAAAAGTATTCATTTTTGCTGAGTAAAGTGTCGACTTTATTGAATATTATCTCAAATAATTATTTATTTAATGTTTTATGACATACACTTCAGCTTCACTAATGAGTATGTATGAGTATTCAGCATTGATTAAGGTACATGTACAAAGCCCCTCCTGCCTCACCCCTCCCCTTTCAAAAAAAAAAAAAAGAAAAAAGAAAAATTCCAAATTTATGAGGTAGACTTAAATGTACATGGATTATCTGCAACCGTATCATTCAGTTGTGATTTCCTGTTCCGGTAAAACACGATGACGACTGAGACGAAGGCAAGGATTCCAGTAAGGACACCCAGAGAGGCAATAAAAATTGAATACGGAAACTCAACCCGGTACACTAAAAACGAAACCATTTCCGTTATATCCTCTTCTCTGAATATTCTTTCAAGATCAGCTATATCTGAGCGGTGCAGTTCTTTAAATCTGTCTTTCACTTGCGTTACCATATGTCCCATTCTACCAATGAGTACACTTTCTCCTATAACTGAAACACAGTGTTTGATGTATGAATTATTTGTTAATTCATAAATTAAACAATATTTTGACTTTTATTGAAGAAATGAATTAAAATTTTTGAAAATTTTCGAGGACAAGAACTTCGAATTCGATGCTTCACGCCTTCATAAATATGCTAGCGTGAACCGTTGTAATTCATGTATCTCATGAATTTTCAAAAAATAAATTCTCATCTCAGATTAACATAATCTATCTCATAAGTTGCCTAAAAATTATGCCACTCAACTGTCATTAAAAAAAACAGTTTGAACTACACTTTTAACATCAATTACGGTATTATGACGTAACAAAAGAGATATTCATGCTCATACATTGTAGTTCATAGACGTACAATGTGCTGTTTTCTAATTTGTAACGAATCTTAAGGAAAAATAATTGGAAATAATTGGAAATGTACATATTATCTCTTAAATAGATTATTTTGGGTTATACTGTATTTAAAGTTTGTCTTTGACTTATAAATACAAGTAGTTCTATAATTATACATGTAAAAGCTCAATTTAACTGTTTAAGAGTTACGTGTTACGTATCATCGTCACAACAAATACAGTATATGCTGTCTAAATATAATGCATTAGAATTTAAAATTACTTACTTGCTACTAACATCAAAATTGCACTTGTTGCTGTTTTAGATGGATGGAGTATAAATACTCTAAAGTTCAATAACTCCAGCACAAACACAGCCCCGCATAGAATCATAGCAAAGGTACCCACAATCTGCATCTCACTTATAGAGGCTGGAAAATATATATGTTTTGTTAAAATTCTACTCAAATTACTGATAAAGTTTACTTTCAATATCTTTAATTATTCTTATTTTAAGTTCACTTTAGATATTTTATTCCGTTATTGACACAAATTAATGTCGTAAAACTATAAAATCATATTTTTATACAAGGATAATAAAGGTATTTTGCAATTTTCAATTTTTTCTGTACGTCAATAAAATGATTTCTCATTGGATATCATTTAAAATGCTAACTGAAATTGTCCTGTTTGTTCCATCAAAAATCAACAATAATCTTTCCTCGTGGATTTTGTCCTAAAGGTTTCTTTTTATGTTTTCTTTGTATAAACACATTCAAAAATGGAACTGTGATGACCTCTTCTCACATTCTTGACATACCAGTTGAAAGGATACCACATAAATGTAATTGCATTACCACATGAAACAAGAAAATAAACTTACGCTTGTTTGATGGGTAAGAATTTGGATCTACGCTGTTCCAGGAAAGAGCAGTAAGGTCACATGTCCTTGTAGATTCACAGGTGACGTAATAAAATATACTCATTGTAAAGCTCGTCTGAAACAAGAGAGTGTGCAAAATAATAGAAGTATATATTTTGATCAATACAATTATGTGAACCAAAACGTTGTAGGGGCGCGTTGATTTTGCTCGACATATAATATTGGCATTATTATCGAGTGTGCTGAGGTAGCTAGGGTTCAATATCGCTAATAATTCATTCTGTATCGGAAATCAGACGCATCTTTTATGACAAAATAAAATCGCTAAAACTACTTCGTGCTTTTATATTTATAGCGATTTTTATGAACAAGTCGCTAAAGTTTTTTGCTAAAAATTCCACTTATATGGTAACAGCCGACAATGATAAAGAATTATATAACAAACATGTCTTAGGGCTAGCTAACTTATCTGTTAAAATAGAGATAATCAGGATCTTCTGTGACCATAAAGTCTACCTTGCCCTTTTTTATGTCGAACATGTAACTTTATCATATAATCAAGTGACTTACCCCGGAAGGAAATAACCTATTTCTGATATACACAACAAGCCAGCCTGGAGTCGTCATGGCAACAAGCCAAATAATGAATGTTAAACCAATCATGATTAACCCACACGCGACGATTGGCCGGTTACGTTTCCTTGTCTAAAAAAATGAGTTAAACCTGCGTTACTTCACTGAATATCCATTTTAAAGAATATATTTCGTTCAATCATTCTATTTTATTTTTTAGCCAAGCATATATATCTCACTATGGCTCCTTCTAAGCAGTGCGCATAATTACAAAGAGAGATGTACATGTATGATGTACTTGAAGCACGAATAAACTTATTTTTTTATTCTTAAAAAAAATATAATGATTCTGATAGTAACAAGGAAGAAATCTTTAGATTTCAGGGGAAATTTATTCAAAATGCTGTTGGCTACATGAAGATCTGCAACGTAGCTACATTTGGGATGAAATGAAAATATTGTGAAGAAGACAAAGTGATCAATCTCTACAAACGATATTAATCATTAACCTAACAACAACAAGGAACCGTGGAAACACAAAGACTGGATCAGGTGCCTAGGAGGTGTTAAATATCCCATGTCGACCTGCCACACCCTCTGTGAGCCCGTAGTCCGTAGTCAAAACAAATAATTAAGAACAATCGCCTAAAAATTAATACGAAACAATTCAGTCAAATACGATACGAGGTTCTTTACACAAACAACGTCGTAATAACGATCATTTGTGAAGTGACTTTAAACAGGATTATTGTAAAACAAATCCTGGAATTATAGCAAGTTATTTGTAAGTAGACTGGTTTTTTTCAATTGATTTTTTTCTCAGAGCATGCTCTAGCGTACCGAATCAGTTGTAGACATTGAAATCATGCGCAGGTGATAGTGGAACATTACTACATAAACGAATAATGTTGGCGATGCATGGACAAGCTGAAGTCATCCTATTAGTAACATGCTCTAGTTGTTATAGATTTCAGGTTTATCACCTGCATATGAGATTTATGTCTCCCAGTTGATTTTATATGCAAAAGCATGTTTTTCATACGAAGAATTTCAAAAATGAGCCAGACTGCTAACAAGTAAGTTGATGGCACAAGGGTATTTTCAATGTCGTTTAAAGTCACTATTTTGCAAATTCTATGGTCGACACAATGACCATGTTTGTTCATTCAGTCTGTCGTTATGTCGAATGCTGACTGATGTCCGTCATAGAAATTGTTAGGTCATTATTTTCATACTGATTTCGCTATACTGTTTTCTACATTTCTCCGGCTTTGAAAAGTGGGTGTGACTGGTTGACAGGGGTAAATGTACCTACTCTTCCATGGCACCAGATCCCACCTCTGATGTCTTCAGAGGTCCTTGTTTGCTTTGCTCACAATTTGTGCTGTTTAATTGGACTTTTGAGCATGATTACTGTACATTATATTCACATTTCATTTATATAAATTTTTTAAATCCGTTATAGGTACGGTAAATTAAATTTACTCCAACTGACTTGAATACTTAAGGTGTGTATGAAAAATTGAAATGTGAATTTGAAGAATTTTATCTTTTGAAAGGAAACCGTGGGTAAAAATTGGTTTCCCAGATGTGAAATTAAAGCCAAGTTCTTATAGAATGCAGTTCTGTTGTAATAATGAGCCTTATAAACAAAGACTAGATTGACACAAGTCTTGTTAGGTGAAACCAAAACAAATTTTTCATTTGCTCTTCCTAACTCTTTTGTCATTTCTAGCCTGCTGAAAACGAAAGGAGAGATGGAACGTGTACGCATTATGCCTTTTAGTTGTAATATACGATGCTTCTAAAACACTTAATCCATTCCAACAAAGTTTCGATGTCTATCCTCTTCATATTTAGCTCATTGTCTGACCTGCTTTTAGAATAATTATTAGAAGTGTTTATAAAAATGTCCATGGCCCCCTTTTTGTATTTCAAATCTATGCCCCGACATTCTCTTGTGAAGTAAACCCTTTGTTTCCCTTAAATAGAGCCAAATAGGTTGAATTTAGTTCCACAGGTAATATTCGAAGATTTACAACAACATGAATCAGGTTTGATGATATGCAAAAGTGTGTTCGTTAAGGAGTACTTGATATCAAGGTTACTAGTAACACGTTTATTGTCTTTTCTTAATAATAATCTCACTTATGTACAATCATGTCCTAGATATTTCATTCAGTCAAGGTACAAGTTGAAAAATAATTGCGTTTAATTACAATACAAACAAAAATCTGATGCCTGGATTGATATATATTTGTTGACTGATTTTGAATAGGAATGACAAAAATAATAAATCCCTAAAATATAGAGAAATCGTAAGTTTTCTTTGGTGCTAAAATATGCGACTTTGTTTTGGTTTCTATATAATTCTATACAAAATTTTGCACATAATTTTAACATTGTAACAAAATCTTACAAATTATCCCACTTTACACAGCAAACATTAGTCAGGTTACCTATTTGAATATAAATCTGAATACTGAAAAAAAAATTTGTGATATTTATCCTTAATTCGCAATAAATATAAAAGCTGTTATTATCGCCCTATAACTTTTATCTACCTGGTATCGTTGATACTGGTTTTCGTGTTTAATTCACAATAAATATACAAGCTGCTATTATTGCTCTTTATTATACTTTCATGTTAAATACTAAAATCTGATTGGTTTAGACGTATTTAACAATCCGTAATATTACCCTCAGCGTTAGCAACACAGTTGGCAACGGGTAACATTACGAAAATGTCACATGCGTTCAAATCATGCGCGTACGGTTCACCGTAGAATTCTCAAAACGTCAGTTGTGCGTTTGAAAGAAGCCAAATAAACGACGTCAATAAAAGCTTGCGTCCGATGTAGCTTACTTGAAAACAACAAACGACAGACGAAACATCCTTGCGAGGACTTTTTGAGTAGCAAACAAACAATAGAGAGGTTGGTATATCTTTTCCGAAGCTTTCTTATTGAGAAAAATAGAAGCGGTGAGTTTGAAAGCTTTCTAACCGTTTGAAAGCTTTCTAAGCGTGAACTTAACGACGATCTCCGAATTTTTTTTTATGACATCCGAAATCAATAAGACATTCAGTATAATAAAATAAATAGTGCACGTTTTTTGAGGGTAACAGTTGAAATTGACACCCCTCGGAAAACCATTGTCAACCTCCGCTGACGCGTCGGTTGACAATGGTTTTCCGAGGGGTGTCAATTTTAACTGTTACCCTCAAAAACGTGCACTATTTATATAATAACTTTTATCTACCTGGTATCGTTGATACCGGTTTTCGTGTTTAATTCACAATAAATATACAAGCTGTTATTATTGCCTTATATATAACTTTTATCTACCTGGTATCGTTGATACTGGTTTTCGTGTTCAGTATCCTCTACTTTAAATGAACTTTTTTCTGTTAGGTCCGGTTCCACTGTTTTTCTAAGTTCCATCTTTTACTGTCCTTCTCAAGGTCCGTCAAGCAATCTTAAACAAGAAACATTCACCATTCCTTAGCTTAATTCATATGAAAGCTTGTAGAATATACAATGTATGTATGAAAAGATGAGAATTCATCCAAAATATATCTTTTTGTAATTATAACGAGGACTGTTCGAAAAGTTCGCGGACTTCCGTCATTTTTTTTTTACTTAACGTCATATTATCTTCAAATTTGGTAGACCTGTTTAGGAATAAATTTGAATGGGTTGAATTTAGAATTTTAAACATATCTTATTTCAAACGTATTTAATATCTAAAATTGCAAAAATGGGATATTCCTCACTGAAAAAGGCAAAAATAGATTACGTCGGAGAACGTCAGGGAGCAACGACTAGCAATTTCCTGTTGCACTCTGGAAAACTTCAGAATAAACTCTGAAAACTGCTACATGTAGGAAGCAGAAAAATATGACAAAAGTGTGTCGTGCATTTGTGTGTAAATTTCACAGGCGGTTTTCGGGTGGTAGAGACTCTGTATCGGATGATATACGATCTTTGAGGGAACGGATTATCAGTAAAAATCGGATCAGAAGTTAATAACGCCATGGAAAGAGAGATGGACGCTTCACTGTTGCAGATCTTGTGAAAACAGAGTTATGTGGTAAAAACAAAAAAGGAAAATACTGACAAACGAACTTATGCTACTGAAACAAATGTTAGCAAATTAAATGCCAAGTGGTGTAGAAAGCTTTAAGTGGGTATAGGCCCGAACTTTTCGAACAACCATAGCATTTTAAAAAACGATTCGTTATAACAATAACAACAATAATTTTTTTGAAGTCTGGAAGTTCAAGTTCTTTATTTCTTTGCGTCATACGACACATCAGATTACATATATTAATAACTAAACATATATACAATATTATAAAATATTATAATAACAATATCAGAGTGAGCATAATCAATAAATAGCAAGTAAACTATGTAGGATGTGTTTTCTAACAGCCAATTGTAATTATAAGACACTAAAAATTTACAAATGTTTCATTCTTCTAATGGAAGCTTGATATGAATATTTTCCAAGGTTACAAAGTTCCTTTATATTTTGTACACTTAGAAGTTGAATTAATTTCCAAACACTGGATTTCTTTTAATAATACTTTTTCAAATACTTAGATCTGAGGTCATGATAAAAAAGACATTGTAAAATAAAATGAAATTCGTCTTCGATAACATTCAAAGAGCACATTTTACATAATCTGTTTTTTTCTAATTTCATTAACATATCTACCAGTTTAGATTATGGGCAGATAGTCTAATTCTAGCAATTTGTATTTTGTACATATAATTAATAGGTTTACGCAAGTAATATTGTATACCAAAATTATCAACCAAATGTTGGTATAGCGGGCTACGGGCATTGTTACAAATATTAGAAATCATAGTATGGTTATTCACCTCAAGGAATCTTTGTTTTACTATCATATAAGTATTATCAATGAAACCTGCATCAAATATATAGCCAAGTCCCAGTTTATTAAGTTCGTTTTGAATATATCTGATCCAAAAAAAAGGAAGAAATAATATGTAATGAATTTTCAGGGGCAATTAATCTCTGCTTAACACACCTACTTTTTTAATAAGTTTAGAATGTGCATGTATAGAGATCAGCAATTTTTTCTTGCGCTAACATTTAACTCTTACTTTTTGCTCAGAGAAGAGGAATGCACTGATGGATGGGGAAAAAACAAATTATTGAACAACAGTAAACAAATCCCTTTCTGGTATATCTCTGAACAGACTAATTATTCAGGCAGGGATCAAGGATTTGCTTCAGTGTACATACTTTTCATAATTCTGCAAATTCCAGGGGGGTCCAGACCCCCCGACCCCCTCTAGATCCACGCATGTTATTACCTGATATTGTAGTCAAAATTTCATCACTAACACACTGAAGTCTCGATACTTAAACATTTTATTAGAGTAATATTTACTTGGCATCGTTTGTTTTTATAACCAGGTATTTTATATGTTTTTGGCATTGTGCCACACGGATGTCCACGGCTGCTCTCCTGCATTATTCGTTTTTATCATTTATTTACTATATTTTCAGTGGCGAGATTAGATGGCAAGGGCAGTTCTGGGTTCCTTGATTATGCATGTAGTCTATCCTATTTATGTTACATTTTTTTCTGATAAATAAAAATATATATAATCATTTTACGATATCAAGATTTAGAATTTTTAGAAATCAAAATATTTCTCATTAAATATCGGATGATTGACATAGGCGTCGGAACCTGGGGGCTAGGGGGGCTCAGCCCCCCCCCCACCCACTTTTTTACAAGGATAGACATAATATAGGCATTGAAAATTGGGGCTTACCTTTTTTGTTGGTTTAGCCCCCCCCCCCCCTCACTTTCAATTTGCTTCCGACGCCTACGATTGATATTTTTATATAGGAATTCGAAAAATTCTCCACAATATTGAAAGCAGCGCCTGATGTTTTTTCCCGACTGCCCTACGTCAGTATATAAACACGTTTTCCAGCGAAAACATACAAGATGTGAACGTTATCATGGTTATCTTAGCCATAATTTATAAATACATTGTACATTCCCAAGCATTTCAACAAAAAAAAATCTACTCACATTTACTCAATTTGTTAATGAAAATCGACGGCGATTCTTCTTTCTTTTCTGAAGGAAAACGATGAAAATACTGAGCAATCAACAAAAACGATACCTGAAGTTTCCAGCATTACAGTATATACACACTCCTGACATAGGGTTAGCAATAAACAGTGAAATGATGCTCACAACAACACGTTTACGTTGACCTTGGCTGAAATGCGTATCCCCAAGTAGTTGTTTTTTTAGTTGTTTACATTCCGAAGAGAAAAAAGAGTGTGCCATCTTGATCAAAAGATATGAATAGCTGAAAACTGTCGGTTTGCAACTCTGAATGCATCATTAGATTCCGAGTTAATTAAATTTCCATCAGAGTAATACCCTTTCCAAACGTTCGTATTTTTAAACATTTCTTAACGAATTTGTTATATTGCTAATGTAGAACGGCACTCCACTGGACTCCAGAAGGAAAGAGAAAGAAGGGAATACAAGATGGAGAATCACAGTGGAGAGTGAGATCTGATCGATGCAGCACTCTTGGGGATCGCTGACCAGACTGGTCCATACGGAAGCGTATTAGTGCTATTTTGACACTTGTTATTCTTTAATTTCTACACTTTAATCTGTAAATTTTACACTTTAATCTGTAAATTTTACACTTTAATCTGTAAAATTTACACTTTAATCTGTAAAATGTACACTTTAATGTGTAAATTTTACACTTTAATCTGTAATTTTTACACATTAAAGTGTAAATTTTACACATTTATCTGTAACTTTTACACTTTAAATAATGTGTGAAAGAACTACGCACGCTAACTCTCGATTCCCGCCTACATCTTACACCCATTTAATTCAATACTACTGTCAATTTGCCCGTAAAATCTTTGTTGGATGCAAAGAATAGTTCAATGGTAATTGACTGATAATTTTAATGCCAGTGTGAAATAGTTAATTACCCCTAATTCCAGCTCTTAAAATAAGGGGGGTTGACGATATTTTCCATTGAAATCGGGCTTTAAAGCATCAACACATTTTAAAATATTCTTGGATATGAATAAATGTTCCTTATATCTTTTTTTATGTTTTACGCATATAAAATCAAACATATATTAATAATAAAATACAATGTTTTAGTTGTAAAACCCTTTGAAATTGGTCAAAAATTAAGCATTTTTGTAGTTTTTTGTTTGTAAACATATGTTCCCCCCGTGAAACACAGAAAGCTTTGGTATGAATTTTATGAAATGACAGTCCATATTACCTGTAAAAAGGAACTTTTGTTTCACGGGGGGGGGGGGGGAAGAGATGTTTTAAAAATATTTTCCGTTTTCCGTTGATCTCTATAGTGAAAAACACAAGTTTTACCCAAATCATGAGTTATCTCTCTTTGTTTTCCCGAAGAAGTAATGTTTTATGAAAATTCATATGAATCTATACTTATAAATTAATAAATTCTGCAAATAAACTCCGAAACGGGTGCACCAGAGTTCTTACTTACTCCTCTAACAATACACTAGATACAAGCTGATGTCCGTAAACTATATTTAGATTTCACTCGCAAAGTAAGTATCGTACATTAAATTAAAAGTCTACTTTCATTTTCTATAAACAACCATGAAATAGCTAAAACGTGAGTACGGTGGCGTTTCCGGTTGGCGGATCTAAGTCACTTGCAATTTTTAATGAAACTGACAACAAGCAATCGTTTATTTATTACATAAAACGTCATCACTGAATTATTCAATTAAAACTCGATTTAAATGATATAAAAGAAATAAGTTGTGATAACCGATTAAAAAGGGAAATGTGCAAAATATTTTCGTCATTCGCCGATCTTTATATTGACGGAAGCTTCTAGAACATCATATAGCATCGAGCCCGATGTTAAGAAAAAAAGGAGGCGATTATAGCTACATGACCATAAGAAAAGCTTTTTCGTGTAAATGGTCATAATTGAAATAATGGTAAATTACTGATAACACTATAAGTTGTGAATATAATTATATATCGAAAGATTATTACATTTACATGTATGTAGTAGGTTTTCCTAATAAATTTATCGGTAAAATTTGTATATATTCCTACTGAGCGCATCGTGACAACGAACCCGAAGTACAATTTGTACTTTGTAATAAACTTGCTTACATGAAAAGAGAAAATTAATGAATAAGGTATTGTTCAAATACAATTAAAGATGTAAAATTTTGCGCTTTAATCAATGCACATTTAATTTCTAAATACAATCTTTTATAGCTGCAATAATGTAGCCCTCTCCTTTTTTGAGGGGGGGGGGGAGGAGGGGCAGTGAGAGAGAGGCCAGAAAATATCAGATCAAATTAAAAAAAAAATCGGAGAGGGCTACATTATTGCAGCTTAGTCTTTTGTATCAAATACTCAGCCTATTCATAGGGCGATAAAAGCTAATTTTTACACAGGTACTTGGTCCTTGGTTTATAAATATGTATGTACCTTATTGACAGGTAAAAAGTAAAGTACATTTTTACATATCAATAAGGTACAAACACATTTATAAACCAAGATCCAAGTACCTGTGAATTTTTACCCCCCTACCCCCCCCCCCCCCCAAACAATTTATTAGTAAAATGTTCATATTCGTTGCTTTTATCCTTGACGGAAATGAAATAAGAGCATCTGAAGTACAATATCCATAACACAGTATAACAGGTTTCTCAATAAACGTCAATTAATGAAACTGCTATTTCTCAAGTTTAAAAATAAATAAATAAATAAATTTAAAAAAAAAAAGGGGGGATTGTTTGGGGGGATTGGATAGGTAAATCTACTTCATGCGGGATTTTGAACAAAGTATTTGTTCCTGCATGCTGAACAAAGTATTTGTTCCTGCTATAAGCCGGTAGGCTGTCAATAGAGAACTACAATATATTTTCTGTCGGTAGTGGTATAAATTCAATTCCCTGCGCTTGCGCGGGATTTCATCTAGTATCTATATAAATATAAAAAATCATTCAAATGTGTTAACTAAAATTGGCTTAGAGGTAGGCGGGAGAACAATGCTATCGTTCGCAGTTCTTTACACTTTAATCTGTAAATTTTACACATTAATCTGTAAATTATATATACTTTAATCTGAAGAACTTATACTTTAATCTGTAATAATCGAACGGTCGTTTCATTGTGTTATACCTATGACATTTAAAAAATAGATAAAACTGAGATGTTTACAAGTGTTTGCATAAAAGTTTATACATGTACATGTATATATGATAAATAGGGGTGGGCGATTTGCTCATTGGCCTCGTAATTTTCCCCAGCAATATATCGGAAATCTAGCTGCTTTCAATCCAGTATATTTCTTTAGTACTATATAGTAAAGAGCGACGAACAGTAAAAAATATATACTAGTATCTCAAGTATTTTTGTCTTCTCATTTGCAATTCAGATTGCTATTGCAAGTTTTTGAGTCGATGATAATGATGTAAAATATAAAAGTTAAAATTACGGTGATTTTAGAACGTAACAATAAAGAAACATCATTGAAACAAAAGATATTAATTTCTATGCTGTTCCAAAATTATTATAAAATCATATACATTAATTATTTACATGTATATACTTTAATAATTAATATATTAAATGGTTATTTAAAAATTTTCAATTCAGTAAGTGATTCAATTGGTGCCTGTAATACATGTTGAACGTAATTCAGTTAATGCTATCAATAATTGATCATGAACTGCCGAGCACATCAACTGAATTTGCGTATAATAATGTCAGTATCATATTCATTGAGATACGTGTGTTTGATTTGCTCTTCATATCCACTGACCGTTCACGGTAGTTCAGTCGGTAGAGCGCTCGCTACGTGATCGGGAGGTCGTGAGTTCGAATCTTGGCCACGACTGACCTAAGTAGATAAAAAATGGGTAGCAACTGTTCCTTCGCCATGCACTCGGCACTTTGAAGTGAAAGTTGCGGGTCCTTCGGGTGAGACCTTAAAACCCGAGGTCCCGTGTCACGGCAGGCGTTGGCACGATAAAGATCCCTCACTGCTCAATGGCCCTGAGTGCCGAGTATAGGTCAAAATTTGAAGCCCTTTCGGTATATGGTGTCGTCTCTATAGTGAAAAATTCTCGAGTGGGACATTAAACAACATACAATCAATCACATCCACTGAATTAATTTATAATTCTTTCAAATATCCTATAAAAATCTCACTAGATTGCTTATTATTAGTCCCCTACCGGTGAAACCGGAGGGGACTATAGGTTTCCTCTGAGTCTGTCTGCCTGCCTGTCTGTCTGTCTGTCTGTCTAGTTGTCTGTCTGTCCCTCTGTCTGTCTGTCAGTCTATCCCATTTGGCTTTCCACACTTTTTTCCTAAACGCTTGGAGATATTGAGCTGATTTTTGGTATGTGAGTGTATCTTGATGAGTTACAGACCAAGTTTGCATTTCGTTCTGCTTCATTGATTTCTGACGGAATTACGACCTTTCCAATTTTTAAGGGTTTTCCGCGATTTTTTTCTAAACGCTTGGATATATTGAGCTGTTTTTGGTATATGACTTTACCTTGATTACTTATAGATCAAGTTGATTTCGTTCCACTTCAATGATTTTGACGGAATTATGGCATTTTCATTTTTTAACGGGAACCAGATTACACTTGCCGGTAGGGGACTAGTATTGCTAATGCAATACTCTCAGAATGCTTGTTAGTCCCCTATCGGTGAAACCGGAGGGGACTATAGGTTTCCTTTGAATCTGTCCTTCCGTCTGTCTGACCGTCTCCGTCTGTCTGTTGTCCCTCTGTCTGTCTGTCAGTCTGTCCCATTTGGTTTTCCGCACTTTTTTTCTAAACGTTTGCAGATATTGAGCTGAATTTTGGTAATTGAGTGTATCTTGATGAGTTACAGGTCAAGATGGCATTTTGTTCCGCTTTAGTGATTTTTGACGGAATTACGACCTTTTCAATTTTTCGGGGTTTTCTGCAATTTTTTCCTTAACGCTTGAAGATATTGAGCTGATTTTTGGTATGTGGCTTTACCTTGATGAGTTATAGACCAAATTTGCATTTCCTTCCGCTTCATTGATTTTTGACGGAATTATGGCATTTTCAAGTTTTAATTGGAACCAGATTACACTTGCCGGTAGGAGACTAGTATTGCTTATGCAATACTCTCAGAATGCTTGTTTGTATTATATCAATACATATAATATCTGATAAGTAATTATTTTCCACGTTTATTGTTAGATAAGATATCAAATTTAAATTTTATCATGCAGTATTTATGGTCTGTTGGCTTTAAGGCGTTTTACTTTAAAAGATGTATGAAGTTGCCAAATTGATTATGTGAACTAAACAGATGAAAGTGAAAATTATACAGATTATGTGTAAAATTTACAGTTTAAAGTGTAAATTTTACAGATTAAAGTGTAAATTTTACAGATTAATGTGTAAAATTCAAAGATTTAAGTGTACAATTTACCGATTAAAGTGTAAAATTTACAGATTAAAGTGTGGAAAACAAAAAATTAAAAAAAAAATGTCCAAGTGGCACTAATATGCTTCCGTAGGCGGAGGTGGAAAGACTTTGTTGTTGCCCTAGACACCAGGGTGCACGTGTGGAATGACCGATGATGATATGATTGTACAGTTGATATTACATTCGACTTTTCTTTTAGTGGTACAACATTAATAATTTGTAAAAGAACCTATAAAAAAAACGATCTGCATGCTTTATAAAATTTATGTTTAAGCCTGAAAAAGTATCATTGTCTTTGGAGCATTTACGCAACCTAATTAAGCATTTGAAAGAATGATTAAATGTTTCTAAGACAGTTGCAATATATACATGTGTGATGTATGGTATCAAAGCATAAGCGTAATTGTGGGCTGTTTAGTTTACTTTTGTTCCTGTTTAAATTGTAGAGTTCTCGATCTTATTTTCTAAATATTTCTAGAATCAGTTTAGTTATAATAAAGTCATTGTCCAAAGTTAGCAGTATATTCATATATAATACCAATTTCTATTGCTTTTAAGTAAATTTTATGACTGGCGTTCTCCCTAGCAGGAAAAAAGTGTCTAATAAAACAGTTAATTCCCCAACAATGAACAATATTTCACGATTTATTTTTTTTTTCAATCTTGTAACTTGGCTAAATCGTCTTCTCCAAAAGACACCCCCCCCCCTTTCCCGTGCTTCTGTTTGTTTGAATTTCATTGCCAATGCATCAAATTCTTTTGAAATAATATATTTAGACAGAAAATGACTTAATGTTGATTTACTTGGTCGAGCGAAATGCATGAAACCTGCAGAACACCATAACAAATAGATAAATTAAAGTAACACTCTCTAAAATTATTTACGCACAAATAATTTTAAAAATTTAGAAATTAAAAAACGCTCCTAAAAAGATCAAATCATGACAAGGCCGGCAAAGATCTTATACATGTATCTACACAATTTTTCTGACGGCAAGAAAAATTGGTTATCATTATTCACAATGATATATAAGCTCCTGTAATTATACTCAGTTTTGTTCAAATTATCTGGGGTTAAGTTGGGGCCATTGTATATACATCTGTGGCTTTTTTTTTTTTTTTTTTTTTTAGTTTTAAATACGGATTACTTAAAAAAAAAATCTTCTTCTCAAGAACAGTAGTGTAAAAGGAGTCATACTGATGATGCATGCATTCTCGTATAAATATAGATAGAAGGGACCTACATACTATATAGTATATATAGATCCATGTAGCAGCTGTGTAGTTACATGTAAGGCCAAAAAAATGATAGTCTTGTTTCCTGCTACCAGCCTGAAAAAAATAGGGTAGGTAGGTAGGAAAATCATTTTATTTTTTATTTTCATTTTATTTTTTTCCGACAGCGTTTTTTGGATATGAAATAATACAAGATAAAATTAAACATGTCACAGGTTAATATTGTCTTTTAAAATTAAATTTCATGTCTTTTTATGCAAAACTCATGTGGTGTTTTATGAAAGTCCATATTTAAAACAAGAATTTCATGAAATGCTTGTTTTGTGTTAATGATGAAATTCCGGAAATTTCCAAAACTTAAAAAAAACTTTAGGGTCGGGTGCAAAAAAATAGGGTAAGTCGGGTAGCAGGAAACAAGACTATTATTTTTTTTGGCCTAAGTTGTGGAATGTTCCGAACACGGGATAGACTAACGGAACCGGTTTTAACATATTGACACATTGAAGCGTGCAACTGACATGGAGTTTTACAAGCGTCTGAAATATTTAGACTGTCAACATTCAGTGATTCACTTATCCCATGTAACTGGTAAAGGTGCTAGGTATTCGATTAATTTACCATTGAATATTGGAACACTAATGTAGATTCCATAGTTTTACTTCTATACTAGATATTTTGTTTGTTCCGTATGTCTCCAAATTAATTTTACATTTGATCGCAAGGCAAAATGCATGTTCAAGTTACTTATTTGTCCCATTTCAAAGTTTAACATGTTTATTTAGAAGGAAAGAGAGAGGGGATAACCCACACATACTGATATTTTAACACTAACTGTCACATTTTGCCTAAACTCTTGTTGTACACCCTACCTCCAGGGACATACATACCAGTATATTGGATCCTAAACTTACCCACAATTGTAGTACATTTCCCCTGTATGCAGGGATAGACACTAACTTTATTATCAATCCAAAGTAGATCAGTTCCAAAGTAGCTTTGATAAATTTCTAGTCTTCCTGATTTTCCCTTAAGACAAGGGATCAGACTGCTGACAGATGATTGAAGATGAAAACAAACTGTTTATGTGGCCTCATTTAGAATCAGTATGAAGTCAGGCACACATTTCCATTGAATTTTAATTAAGATAAAATCTAAGATGAACTCCAACAATTGTTCTAAGAGCCTCTTCTTGGCAATCTACATGCTACTGAACAATAAGTAGATCAAAGGATCCTATTTTAGTTACACTAAACCAAGGTTTCTAATTAGTGCATGTGATTATTCAATCAAGTTAATTAATGTAATTAAAACAAATATTCCATGTGTTACACTTACTTAAAAATTTGTTGAACAGAAATATTATATTTTTCAAATGAATATTGCACATTAAAAATCCCTTCATAATTTGTATTTTTCTTTTGTTGAAAAGATAGTTATGCACTGTAACTGTCTGGTTCATTAATATGTGTGTCTAAATTTCAAATGACTGTATCTTGTTATGTTATTTTACCAAATGTACACTACAAAAACAAATGTTTCATTGTGTAAACCAGGCCCATGCAAGCTTATTCTTTCTTTCGTCTGAATTCTTTTGTTTACAGAAGACATGGGTTGAAGATTAAAGACTCAGAGGCTTCGCTGATGGTACAGTAGGAGAGGATGGACCCGGCCATCTCTTTCTGTGAGATCGCCTTAGACGATCTCGAATTTTACGAGAGATGTGGTGGTGGATCCTTTGGGAGTGTTTACAGAGCCAAATGGAAGTCGGAAAACATTATTGTAGCTGTTAAGAAGTTACTTGTTTTGGATAAAGAAGTAAGTTGTCAGATAATTCATAATAAGAAATTTCTGGGCACCACGTTATCATAACTGTTTTCAACATGTACAGTCAAACCTCGTTATCTGGAACTTCATGGGACCAAAAAATACTTCGAGATATCCAAGGATTTGAGATATGCAGGGTAAAATACTTAAAGAATAAGGGTTGGGAATTACAAATCACTTCGATATATCCTTGGTATTTGAGATATCCATGTTCGAGATACCAAAGTTCAACTGTACTTGAATAGTGTCTTTGAGGTTCTTGAAGGACTCTAAACGTCTTTAAAGTTCTTTGTTGCTAAGTAAAGTTATCATATGTGGAAAATGAAAAGCATTACAATCTTTTGTTGCATATTTCAACTTGGAAAGTTACTGTAGATTCCTAAATATACACGAGAAATTAATTATTGCGTAATTTTGTGAGAAGCTCCACTCGCGAAATAAAATAACTCACTTTTATTTTAATGGTGCTGAACACCATATAAAATCTTATGATCAACCATTCACTCGCGATTTTCTATTCTCGCGATTTGACGTTTAAGATTATATTAAGTACTCGCCTAAAATAAGGAATCTACAGTATATAGATCTTGTAAATTTATTTCTTTATTTCTCGTTACAGGCTCATGTGTTGAGTTTACTGAGTCACAGAAATATTATACAGTTCTATGGCGCCGTGATGGAGGAACCCAACTATTGCTTAGTCACAGGTACAAAAGACACAATATTTATAAACGTAAACCAACTATTATTCGCGACATCTTTTATTCGCGATTCTTGAGTTTAGAATCCATCCGCGACTACTAATGTTAACGACTGAGGCAACATTGTACATAAATACAAAAGGGAGTAATTGATTCATGTGATTCGTGATGAGAAAAATTCTTAAGTAAAAAAAATCGCAAAACTCACAAATATTTTTCGCTCGTGAATAAAAGTTGGTTTACAGTATTTATAAACATGCAGTTTTTGTCTTTATAAGTCTTTTAATAGTGGTCTTTCCATTTTTTCAAACAAAAATTATACACATATTACATTTATTGTAAATTATACATTTATATATTGTCAAACCTGTTTGCAGAACCTCAGTTAATATTCAAAATTATGATAAATCACTCTATTGTGAATAGACACTACAGAGCAACTTAATATTCTGTTTAAAATGCCCTGACGTAATCTAATACATTATTCATCAGAGTTTGCTGAGAAAGGGTCTCTCTACGACTACCTACAGAATCCCAACAATATAATGGATTTCCAGCAGATTCTGACGTGGGCAACAGAGATAGCTCAGGGTACGTAACGGGGAACTTGTGAGGAGGTGTAATTGAAGCATGTTCAATAAGTTTAAAGGGGGGGGGGGGGCATATCAAGGAAATTTAATTGGTAAGATTAACATATTTTGAGTTAAAAATGCAGTTCTTGTCTATTGCAATGGCACAAGTAATAAAGATTTACTATCTGAATCAGGATACTGATATTAGTTTATGGCATGATAGGAATTTGTTTTTTTTTCTCAATTGAATTAATAGTACTTTACAATTCATTTCACACAATATACATGTGCTGTATATCAACTTTGCTTTGCATGCAATTGAAGTCCTCCATGATGAGTTTCATTAGGAAGGAGAAATCACAAAAGTTAATAGCTCCCACTTCTTCTAAGAAAGAGCAATTTGGACTGAAAAATCATGAGATAAACTTTATGCATATCACTATGTTTCAAATGACAAAGTATTGAATGAAAGTAACTGCAAAGGAAATTTAGTTTATACTGGTATATGGGACTGGATAAGAGAACTCAAAGTTGTAACTCAACTTTGTCTTAAATGAAAGTACATGTACATGGCAAAGAGTTTCACTTACACTGGGCATGTTATGTCCCAAAACATTAATTTTTGGATATTCAATGTTGGCACTCTGACATTTTATCATATCATTATATGGGAAATATTTATGGATTGTATACAATGAACATCTACCACAATATAAGTTTTGCTGCATACATTTTCTTTGTAAATAATACATAAACTGAAGAGGATTGTCTCATATTACTAGATAAAGTTTTATGTAAAGATCTACCACTAAAAAATGTCTTATATCTAACTTTTTTTTAAATATTTCAGGCATGAATTATCTTCACAATGAGGCTCCAATGAAAATCATACACAGGGATCTCAAGTCTAAAAATGGTATTATTACACCAACTAAAAAATCTTTAAAATACCCCCTTCCTGATTCTCAAATTTCAGAATGACCGAAGTATTGATGGAAAGCTTTATATAAGATCAGACACTTTTTGATGACCAAAAAAATGTGTTGTCTGTGTTTGTTTATATTTGTACAACTTTAAGACTCAAATTTGTACAATTTGACACAAAATTTTAGAAAAATGGCAGATGGTGTTTTATGAAATCTGATTAGAAGGGTCAGGTCCAAATTGAAACTATACTGTGTAAAAAAAAATTTATCAATGATACAAAGGGTTCTTCATCATTTACATTCTAAATTTTCTAATTATTTCGTTAAACTTTATGTTTCAAAAGAAGCAATAAATCTCAATTAGATATCCTCAAAAATGTACGTGTAATACATGAAACAAGTTTGATTTGATAATGATGTTTTGTTTATTTTTTTTTACAGTTGTCATCTCAGTCCAAGGTGTATGTAAGGTAAAGCTCCCCCCCCCCTCTCTCTCTCTCTCTCTTAATTTGAAGTAGCTCAAAGTTTTCTATACAGTACAAATATTTTGGTTTATAAGGAAATCACAGGGACTTCAAATTTTACTTCCTCATAACCTTGTAAGGAACATAGTGTAAAGTCTTGTATAGGATTCATTACAGTTTCCTTACAACAGAAGTATCTGTATAAGTGAGTTCCTTTATAACCAAATGTTACTGTATAATACTATTGAGAATCAGCTGCTGAATAATTTTCTGCCACAGACACAGTTAAACAGGTGTACAAGAAACCCTTATAAAGTGAATTCCTGCTTTTAATGAATGATGTAACATTTCGCCATCAATGAGTTACTCATGAAATAATAAGTAACTCTGGACTGCATGTTTTATGGATAAAGCAATGTTATTTAGACCCAGTTGCCTAGTATATCTGTGTTTTACTGTAAATGTTTATTGTCTCTGTAGTTGCCTATATCTGTGTTTTACTGTAAATGTTTATTGTCTCTGTAGTTGCCTATATCTGTGTTTTACTGTAAATGTTTATTGTCTCTGTAGTTGCCTATATCTGTGTTTTACTGTAAATGTTTATTGTCTCTGTAGATCTGTGACTTTGGAGCCTCCAGGTTTATGGGCAGTACCACAAAAATGTCACTAGCTGGAACCTTTCCCTGGATGGCACCAGAGGTATCCCAAAAATTAATGTCATTTAAATTGTATCATCAAATTTCACATTATCTTAGTATCTTAACATTTATTGTACAAGAGTTGTCCCTTAAAATCCATAAAATTCAGTAACATTTTCAGTTTTGATATAACTTGGAACTTAGCAATACAGGAAACCCCAAGTTACATTGAAAATAAACCCTAAATGTGTTCCATATACAAACAGTCTTTAGTCAGTGTGTATTTGTGATTTTATTTCTACAGGTTATACAGAGTTTACCTGTGTCAGAATCCTGTGACACCTGGTCCTATGGTGTGGTAAGACTTACTTTATTGGGGGGGGGGGGGGGGGCTCTAAAGGTTGACTTTTTCTGATTATGACATTTTTTTTATAAAGGAGGTGGAGATAAAAATAGAATTTAAGCAAATTAAGTCCATTAGAAATTTGGTATCTCAAGCAATTGATATCTGGAATACCATGGGTATGTCAAAGTGAGCTTGAAGTCCCAAATAATTTTTTAACTGAGTTCGAGGTAACAAGGTTTGATTGTATCATATGGGGAAAACAATGATGATAAATGCTATGAAGGGAAGTAATTCATCAATTTTAGAGTTATTTCCCTTAGCAGAAAGTCAATCTTACTAAATCTTAATCTATTCTCAAGTACATAAATACATTTTGTCAATGTTTATCATTACTTAGGCAAAGAAAATTATTATTAAATAACTTTGTCTATATTTACAGAGTAAAATGAATCTTATTGCTAGGCAAATTGACTCTTCAAAAATTTGTATAAACTCAAACTCCATGATCTGGAATTGTTTTTTTAAAAGTTATTGATAGTTTACTAATGTGATTTTGTCAAATGTGGCTAAACTCTTGAGAAGGAAAGATATGTGTTGCATTTTGATATGAGTGTTTTGAGATACAAGAGACTGAATTCCAGGTGCTGTGGGAACTACTGACTCATGAGGTACCATACAGGGGAATCGAGGGATTCCAGGTCGCTTGGCTGGTTGTTGAAAAAGGGGAGGTAAATATGTGACAGTACAACAAAATGTACTACATATAGAATATGTTATTATATACCCAACTGTTTGTCACTCAGTTTAACTGTTGAATTTATGCAATCACGTGACGGTGTGATCCAACATTGTGGACCACCACACTGTGGTTTTCTGAATCCATATCACACCTCTCTGAAACTGATGATGTAGTTCACAGATAAATGACATTTTTATTCTCGCACATCAAAAAAGTTCCTTGACAAAATGGTTTGTTTAATGGATAAAAGTTATGTAATTGGTCCAGAAAGTTTCCTTTTATTATATTTTGCTAGTTGTAAAGGGGTTTATAATAAATTTATCATTATAACAGTAACTTGATCCAAAGAGCCGTATCACGTCATGTTGACAGGCGCGGATCATCAGATCAAAAAAATGCGAAGGGTCGAGTTTGATCTGATGATCCGCGCCTGTCAACTTGATGTAATACGTCTCTTCGGATCAAGTTACGGTTAAAATAATATACATGTATATATAACAGAATTGATCCAAGTTAATACATAAATTATTTACCACCTCAAGTTTTGAAATTATACAATGAACATTCCATATACTATTTATAGTATACTATGCTACAATACAATGTGCTATTCATAGAAAGAACTGTATTTTTAGTGAAATCAAAAAAAGTTACTTCTCAAAATTCATCTGAGACATTATTGATATTTTTCAGAGATTAACCATTCCTAGTACATGTCCGCCATGTTTTGCCAAATTGATGAGGCAGAGCTGGAACACTGAGCCCAAACTGAGACCGAACTTTAAGGATATACTTCTTACATTACATTCCATGTTAAGTGATGGTGTGTTATCTTACATTACATTCCATGTTAAGTGATGGTGTGTTATCTTCTTACATTACATTCCATGTTAAGTGATGGTGTGTTATCTTACATTACATTCCTTGTTAAGTGATGGTGTGTTATCTTACATTACATTCCTTGTTAAGTGGTGGTGTGTTATCTTATTTGACATTCCATGTTAAGTGATGGTGTGTTATCTTCTTACATTACATTCCATGTTAAGTGATGGTGTGTTATCTTACATTACATTCCATGTTAAGTGATGGTGTGTTATCTTACATTACATTCCATGTTAAGTGATGGTGTGTTATCTTCTTACATTACATTCCATGTTAAGTGATGGTGTGTTATCTTCTTATATTACATTCCATGTTGATTGATGGTGTATTATTGTACATTACATTCCATGTTAAGTGATGGTGTGTTATCTTACATTACATTCCTTGTTAAGTGGTGGTGTGTTATCTTATTTGACATTCCATGTTAAGTGATGGTGTGTTATCTTCTTACATTACATTCCATGTTAAGTGATGGTGTGTTATCTTACATTACATTCCATGTTAAGTGATGGTGTGTTATCTTACATTACATTCCATGTTAAGTGATGGTGTGTTATCTTACATTACATTCCTTGTTAAGTGGTGGTGTGTTATCTTATTTGACATTCCATGTTAAGTGATGGTGTGTTATCTTCTTACATTACATTCCATGTTAAGTGATAGTGTGTTATCTTACATTACATTCCATGTTAAGTGATGGTGTGTTATCTTACATTACGTTCCATGTTTAGTGATGGTGTGTTATCTTACATTACATTCCATGTTAAGTGATGGTGTGTTGTCTTACATTACATTCCATGTTAAGTGATGGTGTGTTATCTTACATTACATTCCATGTTAAGTGATGGTGTGTTTTCTTACATTACATTCCATGTTAAGTGATGGTGTGTTATCTTACATTATATTCCATGTTAAGTGATGGTGTGTTATCTTACATTACATTCCATGTTAAGTGATGGTGTGTTATCTTACATTACATTCCATGTTAAGTGATGGTATGTTATCTTACATTACATTCCATGTTAAGTGATGGTGTGTTGTCTTACATTACACTCCATGTTAAGTGATGGTGTGTTATCTTACATTACATTCCATGTTAAGTGATGGTGTGTTATCTTCTTACATTACATTCCATGTTAAGTGGTGGTGTGTTATCTTACATTACATTCCATGTTAAGTGATGGTGTGTTATCTTCTTACATTACATTCCATGTTAAGTGATGGTGTGTTATCTTCTTACATTACATTCCACATTAAGTGATGGTGTGTTATCTTACATTACATTCCATGTTAAGTGATGATATGTTATCTTACATTACATTCCATGTTAAGTGATGGTGTGTTATCTTACATTACATTCCATGTTAAGTGATGGTGTGTTATCTTACATTACATTCCATGTTTAGTGATGGTATGTTATCTTACATTATATTCCATGTTAAGTGATGCCATGTTATCTTACATTACATTCCATGTTAAGTGATGGTGTGTTATCTTCTTACATTACATTCCATGTTAAGTGATGGTGTGTTATCTTACATTACATTCCATGTTAAGTGATGGTGTGTTGTCTTACATTACATTCCATGTTAAGTGATGGTGTGTTATCTTACATTACATTCCATGTTAAGTGATAGTGTGTTATCCACTTATTTTTATAAACACAAACTTTGAGAGCAAAGTGAAAAAGTAAAATCAAAGTTGATGATCCTTACGGTCAAGATCTAGTAAATGAAAGGTCCCTACAGATTTCTCCGAGAAAAACATTCCTTTAATGATGCTTTATAAGTGAAGCTTATTAAAATTAGGTATACAGGGGCATACTTTTTAGGTAATCAAGAAGAAAAAAAGCATAATTGAATCTGTCGTTTCCAATGAAAATTGAAGAAAACTGGTCATGATTATGGGAGTTTACTCCATATCAGACAAAAAAAATATACCCAGATTGCCTACAGTCTCTGAGAAAATGGTAATGTTCTTGGCCTAGAATAATGTAAAATGAATATAGGTATTGGGATTACTTTTGACATGATTTTAAATTGAATTCCATGAAAATGATTCATTTACTTAACAATCCTATTATAGTCATAAAGTACAGAAAAAAAGAATATTTTAATAATTATTAATTATGACATCATGATGGGTCTAGCACCAAGAAGACAGTCAAAGTCATTTACTAGATCTTGACATTAAAAAATATTATCATCAAATGCTGGAGTAAATAATATATTTTTAGACAAATTTATCATTGTGCCTTTTTGGAACTTTTGGGAAGCAAAGTATAATCATTTTAAAAGAATTTGAAAGCAAAGGAATTGCTGCTGTATGCAACGTACATGTAATTTATTTTAATTATTTGAAATGGCTACTATGAAGAATTTAGATCATTTGAATTCATTTGAGACTCTTTTTTTTTTTAACGTAATTTAGATTTACTTGAAGTAGTTATTGAAAGAGGAAATTTGAATGCATTGTAATTTACATTGTTTGATCATTTTTAGATTCACTGCCAGATCAGACAAATTCCTTTCTGGAGCACAGAGAAGTTTGGAGGTTAGAATCTATTTATACATGTACTTTCTGTAAAAATTTGATTTGTTATAGATGTTGTATATCTGATAAGTTGATAATAAAGTACCTTATTGAAAATTCAAATTTGCAGTAAATCTAATAAAGAAAGAAAATATCTATAATGATGAATAAATGATCACTAGATGTTGATAGCACAGAATATTTTCATAACACTGACTGCTTTTTGAAGAGTATTAGTCATTGTTAAAAATTATCTTAAAAAGATTTAATGAATTCATTTCAGAAAAGAAATACAAGCTACAATAGAAAGACTAAAAAGAGCAGAGAGTAATTTGACTGCCAAAGAACGGGAGTTAATGGAACGAGAAATTAAACTGTTAGAAAGGGAGAAAACTCTGGAACAACAATTCCGAGCTGTGGTTAGATACTCTGTCATATGTTTTGATATATGTAGGACTGCTAGGTTTGGAAGATATAATACTATAACATTTTATATAATCATGTCTGTATAGATATTTTTGAATTAGAAATATTAATTTTTCTGTATATTTCCCATTGGCAAGTTTGTTAATGACATATATATGAAATTATCTGTACCTGGTACACTTTACACATTATTGAAAGAAGCAAGGTTCACTAAGGGCTTTTTTTGGCCCTGTGAATTTATATAAAAAAATCAGCACTGCTTCATTTTAGTTGACAATGCATTAGAGATCACTTAGACCCTTGGCAACTGCTAGTCGTGTGAATTATGATGTCAAGAAGTTTATTATTCCCTTTCCTGGAAATTCTTTCAGATATGGGCAATATTTTAAGCTGTTTTTCAATATACATGTATTTCATATAGATATATGTCATATAAATATACAATTATAAAATAATAGATTGTAAGATGTTTTATTTTTTGAATCAGCTGGTGTGCTCATGTTTTAACACTTTGCAGAAGGTACTCAAATACACCTGTTTTCTGTAAAATTCAAGAACATTGCTATTTCATGAAGCCTGTTTTCCAAAACTTGGACTCTCAGAGGAAACTTTGCTATAGGAAATGAAAGTACTAAGTCTCTACTGTATATTGATGTTTGATGTGGGACATAGGGCATTAGTCATTTATTTAGTGCATGGGCCATTTTATGCATAAAGTGAACCTAGCTCTTTTATTCCCTTTTGAAAACTGTCTCGGCCAACATTTGCATATGAATGCCTGTTTTTCCCAGCACTAATGAGTTTAACTTGCTGCTCTTGTTAATAGTTCAAGCGTGACTTCACAGAAATTAATTACAGACACATATATTCTGATTATTTACAGCATTTGGATTCCTATGATGTCAATTCCTGGAGTGAGATTGATGTGGTAAGTTTTTATTGAATCTCATTAGTAACCACGGTAACTCAAATAACCGTTTTGATACTTGACGTATGAAAACTCACTGAACAACAAATGGTTGTTTGCATGTATACTATAGATATTGTGAGCTTGGTTTTTTTTTAAACGCCCGTCTTTAGACGGGACGTATTATGTTATGGCGTTCATGTCCGTCCGTCTGTCCGTCCGTCCGTCTGTCCGTCTGTCTGTCTGTTAGCTTTTCTCGTGTCCGGCTCATAACTTTAATACTATTAGGCCTAGGATTATCAAACTTTGTCAGTTGATACTTCTTGGGTAGAAGGTGTGTCGCGCACTAAAAGTAGGTCGTTCTGACCTTTAATTAAGATGCTATGGCCAAATATGGAAAAATCCTGTCCGGCTGATAACTAGAAAACTATTAGACTTAGAATCATCAAACTTGGCCAATTTATGCATCTTAGGTGTGTCGCGACCTATTTCAAGGTCACTGTGACCTTTAATTTAAGTGAAATTTTAAAAAAAAACTATCTTTTTACTATTAAATTACACAATCCCAAAAAATGTAAAAATGTTGTAGTATCCGTATCAAAAAAATGTTAAAATCAAGAAAATACTTATTTTTTTCATTATATACTTTCAGCAATCTATAAGAAATATAATGTTACAAGAGAAATTCCACCTCTCCCATGAGTGTAATTATCAAGCACTGGTCAAGGAGAATTTTGATAAAAGAAAATTGCATGTCAAATTAGAGAGAAATTAATGAGTTTAGTGTGAGGAGCTAACTGGTAGAGCATCTCTGATCAAGCAGGTGTTATCTATGTCTCTTGGGAATTGGGCAGAGGAATCAGCCATGTTGGATTAAATAGTTTTTGTGGGCTAGCCTAACTTTTAAAATGAATTTGGTGAAAAGTAATTAGAACTAATTTGATATTGTATAATAAACTAGTTTGATATTGTATAATAAACTAATTAATTAAAACTAATTATACTTGGGGGGGGGGGGGTGATATTGGAACTAGCATGCCCGTTGTCCATATGAATTGCAGCTTAAAACCAGTCTGACATTGAATCTAAAGGAAAAAAAAAGAAAGTATTTAAAAAAAAAATTAATTATGGTAGATAGTCCCTACAAATCTAAGAGTCTAGCAGAAACCTTATTAAAAATGTTGCATCAAGATTACAATTTTTTTTTATGCCCCCGGATCGAAAGATCCCGGGGGTATATTGTTTTTGTCCTGTCTGTCTGTTTGTCTGTTTGTTTGTCTGTTTGTCTGTCTGTCTGTTGTCAACTTTAACCTTGCCCATAACTTTTGATTGGTTGGAGCTATGACTTTCATATTTCACATGTGTATTCCTTGTGACAAGACCTTTCTTTGGGTACCATCATATTTGACCTTTTGACCTTGACCTTGGAGTTTGACCCACTTTTGCAAAATTTTATGAGACTTTAACCTTGGCCATAACTTCTGAACAGTTGGAGCTTGGGGTTTCAAACTTCACATGTGTATTCTTTGTGACAAGGCCTTCTTTTGGATACCAACCACTTTGACCTTTTGACCTTGACCTTGGACTTTGACCTACTTTTGAAAAACTTTAACCTTGGCCATAACTTTTGAACAGTTGGTGCCCAGGGTTTCAAACTTCACATGTGTATTTCTTGTGACAAGACCTTCCTCTGGATATCAACCACTTTGACCCTTTTGACCTTGACCTAGGAGTTTGACCTACTTTTGAAAAACTTTAACCTTGGCCATAACTTTTGAATGGTTTATGCTAGGGCTTTCATACTTTACATATGTAATCCTTGTGACAAGACCTTCCTTTGGATACCAACGACTTTGACCCTTTGACCTTGACCCAGGAGTTTGACCTACTTTTGAAAAACTTTAACCTTGGCCATAACTTTTGAATGGTTGGTGCTAGGGCTTTCATACTTCACATATGTAATCCTTGTGACTAGGTCTTCCTTTGGATACCAACCACTTTGACCGTGACCTTGACTTTTATTTAAAAAACTTTAACCTTCACCATAACTTTTGAACAGTTGTATCTAGGTCTTTCAAATTTCACAGGTGTTTTCCTCGAGACAAGATCTTTCTTTGGGTATCAACATTTTTTATCTTTTGGCCTGGATTTTGACTTTTATTTGAGAAACTTTAACCTTCGACATAAGCTACCATACGGGGGCATAGTGTTTCACAAACACATCTTGTTTCTTTTTATAAATCTTTATAACAAATTGAAAAAAAAAAATCTTTGTATTCAAATTTAATTTCAGAATGACATAAATATTCATTTTAAATGCACTACAAAGCAGATAGCACAGATCCATTCATCCCTTGGGAGTAATGAGTGGACATGCATCCAGTTAAAGAATAATTAATGTGTTCAGTGTAGGAAGGCTAGCTGTCTCAATCATTTTTGTTAGCGGATCTCTGATCAAGCTCTTATCTGTATCCTTTGGGAATTAGACAGAAGAACTGCTGGTCAGTTTATAGCATGTGTCATTTGATGGCCAGTCTTTTATTTTAAAATTAATTTGGTATAGATTAAGTTAAGACTAAATTGATATTGTTTAATTGACATTTTTATTTTATTTTTTGAAAATATTGATGAACAAATTTCAGAGCATCATGTCTCACAAATATGAAAGATTGTGTGTGTGTGTCACTGTGTGTGTGTGTGTGTGGGGGGGGGGGGGGGGGGGGGGCTGCAGATGGGTATTTGTCAAGCTCTAACACAACCAGTTGAGGATCAATAATGTTATATTTGTTATAATTCATGCCTACACCATAGGAAATGTATAAACAAATATTATAAGGAATGGAAAAATCTTGGAAATCCTTGTATCAAGGTTGACTTGATTTTCTTGCACTCTGAACTGTTTGTGATAATTGAACAATATTTGACGGGCGTATCATGCTGTGGCGGGGCACTTTATTTCTTCTTTTTTTGGAGTGGGGGGGGGGACTCAGAATTTATGCTACATTTATGAATACTATGTATGGTTCTGTATTTTCTTTATAGTATCTTTGCAGTGAAGTAAATACAGAAACATTTTCTTTTCAAAAAATAAAATATCCATTCTCTCTAATATAATGATTAATATCCATCCTAGGAATGTTTTATACATGTTCTAATTAATTATTTATTATTACTTGTAGTATCAGTGGGTTCTCCAAATGCAAAATGGTAAGCATTTAAAAATGATTTACAATTCCATAAAATCCATAGATAAAATTTAAAACAAAATTAATGCCCTGTTCACACAGAGAGTTTAATTTGAATTAAACGTAAGTTACTGCGAATTAAGTTTGATCCGCGTTCACATGGAGAATTTAATGCGAATTAGTTTAATTCGAATTAGTTTACTGCGCATTAAATTACTTCGCATTAGCTCTGTGTGAATGCTAAGCGAAGCTAATTCGAATTAAATGTTGACGCATGCGTTAGGGCAGAATTAAGTCACAGGCCACATGTCGATGGTCAAATATAGGTACTTGTGCTATTTTTGAGTGGAAAACAAAGGAGAATTATGTTAATCACTAAAATGTGTACAGACACTATGACATTATGTCAAATTCATATCTGCTCTGCACAATATGACGTGATTTGTAAATGACGTCATAATAACCTCACTGAATAGCCATGTTGTAGAAATAACATTATAATTCGCATTAGTTTACTTCGCATTAGCTGTCGTGTGAATGCAATTTAATTTGCATTAATTTAATTTGCATCATTTCACTTCGCATTAATTTACTGCGAATTAAACTCTCCGTGTGAACAGGGCATAAGAAGCCTTAGGATAAAACATACATGTAGTTAATTTAAAATTCTGACTTTTCCATCTTTAGTAACAAATTTAACCGTTACTCTCCTAGAGTAACTGTTTTTAATATTTTCATGACACTCCATAGAAAGTATCCATTATATATGGAAAGATTGGTTATTTGATGGTTAAGGTCATATCCAGGAGCTCAGTGTCAGAGTAGAAGGGGTTGTTTTAAGCTTTTCAGTGGAGCAGTTCATCTATTGAACTAATGTGTAACAAATCAATATAAGAAATCAAACATTTTTTAGGTACTAACTCTCACTGTGATTGTTACAAATAGCTTCACTACTTGGTTTTCTGGTGTCTATAAACCATGTGCACCACTGTGTGGTGTAGATTGCTATACACTTCATACCTACTCTGTAGTTTTATCTTTTATGCACAATATAAAGAATTCATACATATATTAGAAGGGAGGTTTGATCTGTGTGTGCCGTTGACCCTTATCATTTGATTTGAAGGACATTCCCATTGACCTTGTTCCATTTTTCTGTGTCCTTGACCCTTGATATTTATTATGTAGGACATTCCAATGACCTTGTTCCAATTTCTGTGTCCTTGACCATCACATTTATTATATAGGACATTCTAGTGACCTTGCCCAGTATGCAGGCATCTTCCTTCAGCACAACATAACTGGCAAACGACTGATGATGTTAAATCTAGAACGCATTCAAGCTATGGGCATTACTTCAACTGGGCACAGTATGGAACTTATGGTAAGTCATGTGTGCAATTTTAGATATGGGCATTACTTCAACGAGGCACAGAATGTGACTTATGGTAAGTCATGTGTGCAATTTTAAATATGGGCATTACTTCAACTGGGCACAGTATATGGCTTATTTAGGTTGTGTAGGGCACTTCTAAACATGGGGATCACTTCAGAATGCAGATTTCGCAATGGTTAGTCATAGAAGGAATTTACTCAGGCAAAGTATGGAATTATTTTAAGAGTGAGCAAAATAAGGAAGTATCTTCCAGTTACAATTAATGCAAGAATTCAAGGATATGCAGAAAACCTACGAATTTTCATAGTCTTTGCTTTAATATGTTTTGAAAATATACAAAATCCGTAATGTAGGGGGTTTTGACACTACATTTTTAATTATAAAATTCCAAAAACTGTCCACCACTCAAAATTATTTAGTGATAGGTTCTTGAAAATGATTTCTATATAATCATAAACTACCACACTAAAAATCATACTTGATCATTGAAAACACAATTTTTGATTTGTCTTAAATGATTCTTTTCAAAATAATTAACAGGTTTTGGTATTTGTACTAAGAGTACAGCAGAAATGCAGAGGCCTATAAAATTTTATATTAAGTACCTGGACCAATTCCTAGAAAGGGGGGGGGGGGCTTCATGTATATTTCAAAGTGAAGTAATGAATGTCGTGATTAAAGTCACTTGGGCCAGTTGTTATTGTAAAAAAAATATATATATATTTCTGGTTGTTTGTGAAAAGTAAATCTTGCTAGAAAGTTTCCACTTTTGTAAAATTATATTGGCAGAGTCTGGTTTTTTTTTAAAGATATTAATATATTAAATTTTAAAAAGTAATTTTTCTTAGGTCATGGATTTGGATTCAGATTTCTCTTACAAATACTGTTGATGACCAAATAAATCAATCACATGATTTCTATTTTTATATATTCAGTGTACATGTACATTTATTGTGTAAGAAAAATATGCATCTCACTCAGACAAAGTCAATTTAAGAAAAATAACAAAAAAATCATAAAATACACAATATGTGAAAGAATATGTTGCGATTTAGAGATAAATTTTGTCATTTTTCTTCACTTTCTGATTACAGACAGAAATAGAATTGTTATTTCATGATAACATTGTTATTTTGTGGTTACATTGTTATTTTGTGATTATAATGTTATTTTCTGATTACAGACAGAAATAGAATTGTTAAAGGCCCATAACTACAGGCTGCTGAATTTTCCACCACTATCTAAGGTAAGTTCTTGTAGGAGTTATCCCACCTTGAGCCTCTGCAATGTTACAAAGCAACCCTAATTAAACAGATATGAAGAAATCTTTTAATAAAAATAAAATAGTAACTGTACAGTTTATGTTATATAATAATGGATTGCCATTAATTAATGTGAAATCATCAATTTTTTTATGTGGGTTTTGGTTGAAGAGACCCACATAATCATGTTCTCCAGGAAATGTCAAATTTCAAATACATGTACATGTAAAAACTGACCCCATGAAAATATGTGATTTTATGGTAAATTTGGTTTAAAAAAATAATTAAAGACAATTTATTTTATATATTTTTTTTAAATACATTTTGTTGTATTAATTTGTTTTATTTACAATTTGTTTTCTTCCTAATTTGTTTTATTATAGTTTATTTTATTTACAATTTGTTTTATTTATAATTTGTTTTATTTACTATTTCTTTTATTTACAATGTTTTATTTATGATTAATTTTATTTGTAATTTGTTAGATTTATAATTGTTCTTTGCAGACTGGGGACACAGCCCTGGACACTTCCCCCGTTCATCGACAGATTTCTGTCACCCTCATTTTTGGACATCATCTAAGGCAGGGAAAAAGTTTAGAGGTATGGCCAGTATTAATAGCAGCAGATATAGGTCACTGTAAACCAATATATAGGTCACCGTAAACCAATATAGGTCACTGTAAACCAGCTGTCCTTGGATTGCTACTATTTTTTGTATAAGGACAGAAAAATCACAAAAAGTTTGTTGTTGTGAACAAGTTAATAAGCTCATATAGGTATCCAGGGGAAAAAAAGGAAGAGTTTGAGCTGAAAAAATTAAAATTCTCACAATAAAAATAAACAACCAAATGCAAGTAGAGTAATCTATCAACAATGTGGTATTCATGTTCAGTAGGGTTCAAGACTTTCTATTATAGTTTCCTCTGGAGATTTAAAAGACAAAATATAGGCTTGATTTTGTGGAAAAGTGGAAACACTCTTCTTCAATTGTAACTTTGTAGCTTATGTTGCCTAAAGGTTGCTCAGTTGTTAATAGTTTTACGAGAAAAAAGAAATTGTTGCATGATACTCCAGTGTCAATGAAGGCCCATGAACCTCTTTTCAAATAAACACAAATTTATTAATCTGTCACCCTAGGGTCACTAAAGGGGTTAAAAGGTCAGCAAATGACCGAAGCTTGACAGATTTGGCAGGAACATTGATGGTTTCTAAGGAGACAGAATTCTGTTTTTGTAGATTTGGTAAATGCTTGCTTTCTCCCACACACATTGTTATATCTGGGGGTAATTTTATGACCCTCCGACTACAAGCTACTGGGGGTTTTAACATCAGATCAAATCAGCTCACACAATAGAGGTTTGGTATTTTTCTCTGCTTACTCTCTGTAGAAGGAAGCCACATAGAATGCCATGCGCAAAGATAAACAAAAGAATGCCTTAGAGATAAGATTTCTAGGCATACAAGAAGAATGGCTTTCTAGTTGATCAGTAGATGTCTGTTAATGTAATCTGACTTAGAGTGACAAAGAAAAGGATAAAAAATGGTGATACAACACTGTAGTTTATCTTCGTCCTCATGTCACATGACATTGTCAGCCTCTTTTTGAGGTACAGTCTGCCACTTTAAATGTATTTCTACAAGTTCTAGAGACATTTCACAGTGTTGTTTGGGCTTTGTGAGCATTAGAATATGTTACTCTAGTTTTATTTCCATTATAAAACAACCTTAGCATGAATATTTCCCAAGATTTAAAATATTTTCTCCTAAACATAACATTGAGGCTATTAAGGATATCCAATCCTCAGCCAGGAAGGATAACTCTTAAATTTATTATTCTATTTTACAAGTCTCAAAATGAAGCTTGACATTTATATCTTTTCATGCAACAATTTTTATTTTTTGCATCTTAATATGATCATTCAAGGTTCTTTGAAATCTTAGAAACGGTCTTGTAAAAAAGGAAAAAAATTAATTCAGTTTTAGAGAAATCATAATATGATGAACTATAATGATGAACTTTGAAGAAATTGCATGGGTAAAAATCACATTACTGTGTGAAATCAGAGTCATTTTTGTGAGCATTTTCATTTACTGAAAAGCTGATTTTCAGAATCTGAGGATCGGACTACCTTAAAATAGTACAACAAATTCATTATGATACAGTGTAACATCATTAAGTGGTATTATTATGTAATTGAAGACATGGTGTCAATCAGGGATGAAAAACTCGGTGGTTCCTCAACCTCATTTTTCTCTTTTTCTTTTTAAAAATATTGATGTCTCAATTTTTAAAACTTAAAAGAACTTTTATTTTTTTAAGATAAAGGGGATTTGAATATTAAGTAAAGAAATATGTAACAATAAAACATCTATTTGAAATGATTTAATTTTCATTGACTGAACTGTTGAACAGTGACATACAAGTTTGTGTATATTTTGCTGCAAACAGAGGAAAAGTTGTCCCTTATTATAGTCAGTTTATAATAGCATATTTCTGTTTTTATCAGTTTGTAGCTTATGTTGTTTTGTTTTTTTTTGTATGCATCACAAGAAAGTGTACCCTACATAGAGTGGAGTTAACTCAGTTAAGGTGACTCATCTCCCTCTCAGATGGAGTGGAGTTAACTCAGTTTAAGGTGACTCATTCCTCTCAGATGGATTGAAATTAATTCAGTTAAGGTGACTCATCCCTCTCAGATGGATTTAAGCTAACTCAGTTTAAGGTGACTCATCCCTCTCAGATGGAGTGGAGTTAACTCAGTTAAGGTGACTCATCCCTCTCAGATGGACTGAAGTTCACTCAGTAAAGGTGATAAGGTCCCACTAAGATGGACTGAAGTTAACTCAGTTAAGGTGACAATGTTCCATAAGGTTGACTGGAGTTAATTCAATTAGGGTGACAAGATCCCACTTGGATTGACTGAAGTTAACTCAGTTAAAGTGAAAAGGTCCAACAAAGATGGACTGAAGTTAACGCAGTTAAGTTAATTCAGTTAAGGTGACAAGATCCCACTAAGTTTGACTGGAGTTACCTCAGTTGTGGCAATGTCCCACAAATATTGACTGATATTAACTCAGTTAAAGTGACAAAATCACACTGAGATGGACTGAAGTTAGTTCAGTTATGACCTAATTAATGTTCCATGTTAGGATAAGGTCCCACTAAAATGGAGTGAAGTGTGGATAAGGTCAGACTAAGATGGACTGAAGTTAGGATAAGGTCCCACTAAGATGAAGTGAAGTTAGGATAAGGTCCCACTAAGATGGAGTGAAGTGTAAATAAGGTCCCACTAAGATGGAGTGAAGTTATTAGGATAAGGTCAGACTAAGATGGACTGAAGTTAGGATAAGGTCAGATTAAGATGGAGTGAAGTTAGGATAAGGTCCCACTAAGATGAAGTGAAGTTATTAGGATAAGGTCAGACTAAGATGGAGTGAAGTTAGGATAAGGTCAGATTAAGATGGAGTGAAGTTAGGATAAGGTCAGACTAAGATGGACTGAAGTTTGGATAAGGTCTGACTAAGATGGACTGAAATTAGGATAAGGTCCTGATAAGATGGACTGAAGTTAGAATAAGGTCCCAATAAGATGGAGTGAAGTTAGAATAAGGTCCCACTAAGATGGAGTGAAGTTAGAATAAGGTCCCATTAAGATGGAGTGAAGTTAGGATAAGGTCCCATTAAGATGGAGTGAAGTTAGGATAAGGTCCCACTAAGATGAAGTGAAGTTAGGATAAGGTCCCGCTAAGATGGAGTGAAGTTAGAATAAGGTCCCATTAAGATGGAGTGAAGTTAAAATAAGGTCCCACTAAGATGGAGTGAAGTTAGGATAAGGTCCCACTAAGATGGAGTGAAGTTAGGATAAGGTCCCATTAAGATGAAGTGAAGTTAGGATAAGGTCCCACTAAGATGGAGTGAAGTTAGAATAAGGTCCCATTAAGCTGGAGTGAAGTATGAATAAGGTCCCACTAAGATGGACTGAAGTTAGGATAAGGTCCCACTAAGATGGACTGAAGTTAACTCAGTTAAGATAAGAAGGTCCCATCTAGAATTTGGTTTCAATTACATCGGTTGTAATGTAGGGATGGAAAGCAAACCTTAGAAAACGAAGATGCTGAAAAATAGAAGTATTTACTTTTGATATGTTATAACTGCATAAGTTTAAAAAAAATTGCTGGTTATTGTCACAATCAGAGTAAAACTATTTACTTGTAGTGGATTTAACAATGGAACGAGGCGAGTGTGTTCAATACATTTTACATCCACAACCATACCGTAACGTGAATGTATAGATGTAAAGTTTATACGTGTATATGGTATAGAACGTTTTACTCCTGTGCAATACTACACGTACAGTGAGGTATGATAAAGGAGGGGGAAACCTTGAATTCAAAGTGGATTTGGAAAAGGTTTTGTTTGAAGACTTAAAATAACCAAAAAGAGAAATAAAGCTTTATGTAGTATGCATGATCTGACATGTATTAAAATAAGGGAGATCAAATCAGATTTACGACTGGCACATTTCCATATCAATGTCGTTACATACATTATTTTTATAAATGGACTTAAAATATTTTATGTTACTGAGCGTTTTTTTTAAATTTAACATAAAATCCATGGGCCTATATTTATAAAAGAAAATAATCTTATATAATGATTAATATACAATGTTTTTATTCCCATGTAGTAAACGGAGAATTTTTTTTAACATTAAGGTGGGAAGGAGGTCTTTGTGTACACTGAACATGCTGAATGACGGTCAAGAATTTCAGCAGTTTCTTGTACGGGTTAACTCCTTCCTTTGTGTAGCAAATGCACGTCACTGGTAGATCAGCTGATAATGACCCACACGGATACAACCCCCATCATATACAATTATCCCCCCTCCCCTCCATCCCTATCTACCATCAGCTCCTTAGCCATCTCCAGTTGAGTGGCGGCGACATTAACGTCCGAGAACAATAGACGATTGATATCATCAGGTTCCGGCCCTACGGGCGATGGTCGGAGGGAATTAGTTTGAATTACAGTGAAATAAAGTGTAAAAAAAATCACAGATCAAGGCGCGGTCTTCATTTAGTTTGAATTTTGAATAATTTCGTTTCGTTTTTTGAAAAAAAAGAAGAAATCCTTCACAAATTATTTCAGCGTGTTGTGTTTCAATTAAAGGGGTTTTTTTATTTTTCATTTGGAATGATTTTGTCAGTGAATTCTTGAATGTAGGTTGTGGGAAAATTCACTGCTTTATCTTTAATTCTCTGGTATTATTTCTTAATTCTGTTTGATTGATTCCACTTTTTTTTAACAACATGCTGATCATGAGAGGGGTAGACAACCCGCAGTTTACGTTTGTTTTTTACTTCATGTTACACGCGACTTCTAAAGGGAGGGAAAACTTTCCCCGACATTCTTTCTGTCTTTTGCGACAAGTGCCCGGTCAATTCCAGTGTTTACACATGCCAAACCCGTACTAACTTACACTATCTATTAGAAAATCATTCATCAACTGCTGGCAGTGAACAAGAGTTTTCTTTTTTATGCTCTTCAACTCGAGAGGAGATGTTTTAAGTGCATTCAGCGCATCTGGAGTAAAATAGATT